ATCAATATCGGAGCGATATGAAGCATTTATCTGGATGCTGTATGTAGCTTCTGCAGTCGACGTGAAATGTGCCTTCGGGCTGCCGACGCGATACCAACCGTAAATCACTACAACGGAGTATTTGATGCAGGATGCAGGCCACCAGCCTCTGCAGTGGTGCCCTTATAAAGCAAGAGGACTGGGTCATGGAAAATTTTCTAAAGTCTAAAAGTTTTTATGATTAGGGAGGTATAGTAAAAATAGGTTAGATTTTTTTGAGAAATAAACTATTTTGAAAATAGAACCATTATCTATAAATAAGGAAATGAATTACATTAAAAAAAAGGAATAAACCTAACAGTTTAAAGCTTAAAGGAACAATATAATAAAGATTATTAAAAGTTAAATTAATTCGATTTGATTTTCCATGGATCATCATGAATACGGGTCTACACCGAAACCTTTCAATATATATAAAAAATCGGTCGTCCGTCCGTCTGTCTGTCAACAGGCTGTATTACATGAACTATAGTTGGTAGACAGCTAAAATGTTATAGAGAGTGTTTTAATTACATAAAAATAGAAGAATAAAAAGTAATGAATTCGAAAAAAAAAAGATATATTTGTATTTATATTTTATTTCAATTACAATTTTACTTACCTAACCACAGAAAAAAAAAATCGGAATAAAAGATATACAATAAATGCTGTGTATTTATTTATCGTGTATTTACTTGTGTGTAATGCTAATTTGTGAAGTTTAAATTAATTAAACACCAATTGTGCGTGAACCAAATCATTATATTTTTGTGACACTACAAACATCAAACATAACATGACAACTCTTAGTCATAAGTACATTTAAAAAGAGTATAATAAATTCACAATGAAGATCCTAACATGCTGATTACATTAATACATATTATATATATATTGCTTGTCATAGTGTTAAATCTTGAACATGGTACGGAACACTTCCTATGTGTACATTTACATATAAGCTTAATCGTTTAATTCGGACGTCGGACGAGCCCCCTGGGCTCGTCCGACCACTGCCTGATATCCGCCAAAGCACCACAGGCCAAGCCTCCGCGTCCAGCAGTGGTCAAGCGCCGAATCTGGCATTATGGGTCGGCAGATTGGGACGGTATGCGTGATTACTTTGCGTCCGTCCCTTGGAAGCAGCGCTGCTTCAGTGACAGGGACCTATCGGGCAGTGCCGTTGCCATTACTGAGGAGATCATAATGGGTATGGAATACTATATTCCTCATTCTGATCTCATCAGTAAGGGCACACGTAACCTCTGGTTCAATCACGACTGTGCTGAAGCTGCTTCGCGTAAGCAAGCGGCATATCGTGCTTGGATCAGAGGCCGCGCTCTCAAGGATCCCGGGGTCGATTCACTCAAAGCAGCCTACAATTCTGCTTCCAAGGCCTGTAAGAAGGCTTACATCAGAGCGGATGCCCAGCGTGTTGCACGTGTTGGCCAGGAACTTATAACGCATCCTGCGGGCTCCCGTAGCTACTGGCGTTTGGCTAAGGCCGTGCAAAAAAACTTCTGCCAGCCCTCGCTGCCACCTCTGAGATGCCCAGACGGAACACTAGCTCATAAGCCGCAGGAGAAAGCCGATTTACTGGCAAAACTCTTTGCGGCTAACTCCCGAATCGATGATTGCAATGCACTGCCACCATCATTACCTCACTGTGGCACAACGATGCCTGATATTAAAATCAGGCAGCGTGAGGTTCGTGCCGAGTTGCAATCACTCGACGTCCGGAAAGCTAGTGGACCTGATGGCATCCCAGCAGTAGTACTTAAAAAATGTGCAGCGGAGTTGTGTCCCGTGCTCACGCGCTTGTACCAATGCTCGTATTCTTTGGGGCGTGTGCCGGAGACTTGGAGAGATGCTAACGTGCAACCGGTACCCAAAAAAGGGGATCGCTCGGACCCGGCAAACTATCGGCCAATAGCAATCACCTCAGTTTTATGTAAAGTTCTAGAAAAGGTCCTTAATAACCATCTGACCCGCTACCTAGAGGATCACTCCCTGATTAATGATCGTCAATATGGATTTAGACCGAAACGATCGACGGGTGATCTTCTAGCGTACTTAACTCATATCTGGGGTGAGGCTATCGACAAGCGTGGCGAGTCGTTGGCTATCAGCCTAGACATTGCCAAGGCGTTCGACAGGGTCTGGCACAAAAGCCTTCTCTCCAAGCTTCCGGCATACGGTCTGCCAGCCCAGTTCTGTTCTTGGGTAGCTGACTTCCTGCATGAGCGTAGAATTCGTGTCCTTACGGATGGTAGCAGTTCGCGGTTCATGTCAGTGAATGCCGGCGTTCCCCAGGGCTCCGTCCTATCCCCCACTCTCTTTCTGCTGCATATCAATGACCTGATTCCTCTTGGGAATATTCATTGCTATGCAGACGATAGTACAGTGCATGCGGGGTATCTCGGACAAGCAGCGGCTGGGCATGCAGTAACCAGGGAGAAACGGGAAAATCTTGTCATTGAACTCAATCAGGCTTTGGAACACATTTCCGAATGGGGTACCAGGAACTTGGTTGGGTTCAATGCCAAGAAAACTCAGGCTTGCGCTTTCACGGCAAAAACATCGCCATTCCTTCCCCTTCCATCTCTTCAGGGCACAACACTACCGCTGCAGAGCAACATTTCCATGCTCGGTATGGAAGTTCGCTCAGACCTGAATCCAAAGGACTACATCGAAACCGTGATCAAAACAGCTTCACGCAAACTCGGAGTCCTGAACAAGGTGCGGCGTTTTTTCACGCCCGATCAACTGTGCTTGTTGTACAAAACGCAAGTGCGGTCCTGCGTGGAATATTGCTCGCACCTCTGGTATGGCTCCGCCAAGTACTTGCTCGATGCTTTGGATAGGTTACAGCGGCGCGCGATCCGCATCATAGGCGATGAGGAGGTGACTAAACACCTTGAGCCTCTTCAGTTACGCCGTGACGTGGCGTCACTAAGCGCGTTCTATCGTTTGTACCACGGCGAGTGTTCTGAGGAGTTATTCTCTCTTATCCCACCTTCCCCTTTCCTTCAGAGGACCACGCGCGCTGGCCTACGTTGTCACCGTTTTACTGTGGCCACAATTCCAACGCGTACAAAGAAATTTGGTGACTCATTTCTTTGTCGCACTATCCGTAAATGGAATGCTCTGCCCGCTCACGTGTTCCCTCCCTCTTACAACCTGGGATCCTTTAAAAGAGGCGTGAAGAAGCAGCATGCAGGCCGGCAGGGTGAGGATGGCTGGTGTGGCAGGTAGAACTGCTGTATCAGCTATCTTCGCGTCTGGACTTCACCTTCACTTAACATCAGGTGGGGTGGAGTCATTTGTCGGACCTAAATATAAAAAAAAAAAAAAAAAAAAAAAAAATTGCCGCTTGTCTTGAAAAGCATGCTATAGTATTAAAACTATAGAAACGAATGGAGGATTTTTTAATAGTTCTTAATCATTTCATTAAGACGCTAAGGATATTTTGTACCCCTTTTTAAGCACTGTGTGATTTTCCAATATTGAAAGTTTATTAAGGAAACAGGACAGGACTGCTTAATAAGTTACCACTATTAATACATTATAATTTACAATTTATGAGTTACTTTTATTTACCTTAATATTAAACGACCGATTTAACGACTTTAATTTAATCTGAAGTTAAATTAACTGATATGAAACTCGGTGAGATAATAATAATATAATTTATTTTCAGACAATTTTGTACAATCCATAGAAAGTTTGTAACAATGTGCCTTAAAAAAACTTAGCGATATATCAAATTGATAAAACTGCGGGACTTAACACTAATATAAAATAAATGTTAAGCGTTCACCGGGAGAAAAATTAATAATGTCACATTAATTAACATAGTTAGTTAATTAATTACCTGCCATAATAATTTTGGTGTCGCTAAGATACTAAACTAATTATAAATTCTATTCTACGAAACTTCTTGTGAACTAACCATTAATCAATACTTAAGTATAGAGTAATGGAAATAAAAATTAAATTCAAATCTGTAATATTTGCCAGAGCCGCATTTCGTAATCAAGTTTCCGACAAGATTCCATCTTTAGTTTATGAACTGGCCGCACGGTCTTTAGTTTCGTAGATCGGACGGACGGACAAAGAGACAAACGAAATTAATCGAGGTCGTCCGCCAGCGACGTAATCCAATCACACCCAAGCTGATATGGCTGGCGCAAAACTGGACTTCATCGAACATTTGAGTTAGAAACCGAGTTGGTGTCTGGTTTACAACCAATATTTCCACTTAAAAGATGAATTGTTATGGCGATACTGGGGCTGTAATAAAAGTTAAATTTTCGTGAATTAATTGAATCAAAAATTAGTTCATTTTCAAATACATATATAAAATGAAAATCAATATGAAAATTTAAAAAAATATCGTGAAATATTCCTTTTTATGTATTTCATATCAGAAAATAGAAAACTGTCTGCTTGGCCAAGCGTCACCCTTTGGCATCTCGTAGTTTAGCAACGTCAATTTACGTACAATGTCAATTTGAGCGCGAGGCCGCTCGAGCCGAGCACAGGGCTCATTAGGGGCTAGCGGTCGCAATTAAAGCGCGCGTCTTTTGCGCCTTAACGACCGGCCAAATTGGACGCTGGGCCCGGCCCTGGTGAGGCCTTTAATAAATACGTTTCGACAACGCGTAATATATATGTTACTGTGATAATACAATTTGCGCCCGTAGCGTAGAGCACTCGTTACATTCCTCGGATTAATAATTGGTTTGTTTTCGTCGACGTTTTGAAATTTATTTTGTTTCTTTCCAATGTTGAGATTAGTAAATAGTTTTGTTAATTTCATATTCTGCAATGCTACATTACATATTAAAATAAGTATCATCGGTATAATCGTGAATTACAAACGGTTGCTGAAAGCAGTAGTTGAAGTTGCCTCGACCTACAACGTCTGTTGCAAATGTGGGTGAGTTAACAAGTGTTAGTGGCTGTAAGAAGTTGGTATTTTACAGGGTCTCGTTAGTGGAGGAGTGCGCGAGTAGGGTTAGGGGACGTAGAGTGGGAGGGGAGGGTAGGTTGATTGCCGATTGAGCGGCAATTGCCTTGATTGACGGCGCCCGCACGCGCACTAACGAACCTGCTTTCAACTGATAGGTGGACGTGCTACGTTGCTTGTGGCCCGGGGACGCTTCATAAGCATAAGACCTTTGCCGCGAAGCTGTTTTGTGCAATGCAAAAATGTTATTGTTGCAATAATTGTATACTCACCACAATAAATACATTAATTTATTAAGGGATGGTACAAAAAAACCGTTAGTAACAGCAACTGTTTTTTTCTAATGTCTACAAAATGTGTTTGCTGTAAATTCTGAATAGGAATTATTTAAGTTAATATTATAATGAAGATATTTGTATTATCTATTGTTCGTCGTTTTAATTTAACTTAAATTCTCTTTACGCTTATTACTAACAAGTGGCCCGCCCTCGCTTCGCTTCGGTGTAGAGCTGTAGTGTAAACTATATTTTTTTTTCTCAGGCTTGTGCTATAAACAATGACTTTATTTATATAATTACACATGTTATTGTGAGTCAACCATATAAGATAGACATATGCTGTTGCTGGAAATTTTTTAAACAATTTTATGTAGAATATTTCCGTCATACATGATTTCTATGTAACTTTAACCATTAAGGCTGCACACGCGACGGAAGCTTAAAAAATGGAGTAACTTCTCCCGTTTTCCCAACATTTCCCTTCACTACTCTGCTGCTATTGATTGTAGCGTGATGAAAAGAATACTATAATCTGCCCAGGAGTATGAAGAATAATTGTACCAAGTTTCGTTAAAATCCGTCGAGTAGTTTTTGTTTCTATACGGAACATACACACAGACAGACAGACAGACAAAAATTTTACTGATTGCATTTTGGCATCAGTATCGATCACTAATCACCCCCTGATAGTTATTTTGAAAATATATTTCATGTACAGAATTGACCTCTCTACAGATTTATTATAAGTATAGATAAGTGAAGTCATTTCAATTGTGATGTAATTTAAAATTATTGTTTATTATACAGCTTATTGCTATGTACGTAACAAAAAAAAGTAACACAAGTATTCCAAATATAATATTATAAAATAAGACTTCACAATTACATTTCGTAGTAGGGACTGCTATTTGCTACGAACTACGGCCGGTTTCTGATTGCTGCTTGAATTCAAATAATTTTGGTCCGACTGACGTCGGTCCCACAGGTATTTGGTTGATTCACTCGCAGACGAGACATTGTGTTGCTCCGGCGAACATATGTAAACAACATACTACGTGGAGGTATTAACGCCTTCATCCAAACAATAGAGACGTTATAAATCATTATAAAACTCGTATTAAGCCGGCTTAATGTTTATATAACGCTTCCGCTTTCACGGCGTACGTGGCACCTCGGCGACTAATTTCGTGCGTACACAGTAATCAGTAGCACGAAACATCATCAGCGTCTTTGTGGAGCGAGACCGCAATCCATCATATCGGGACAAAAGGCGTCGGATAAACGCGGCAGTTGTTTGCGTGAGTGAGCGTTAATTTTGTTAAGGAGTCTCAATCAGGGAAGGCGTGTAAGTAAAGTCGGCGGGCGGCCGCCGCGGGAGCGATTCGAGCGAATTACCGCACCTGGAGGCGCGGCGCGCGGGGGACGACTCGTTAGTTGTTGTTTGCCGAGTGACGCGGGTCAATCAGCAGAGACATGCACGGAACCGCACTTCTTCATCCCCCGGCCCCGGCCCGGCCGCCCCGCTCGTTAGGCCGCGCTCTCTCTGTCAACTGCGAGACGAGCTTTATCGAATCTACGACGCACGACTCGCGGTCGGCCCACTCTTCGTTCTAGTTTGGCTCAACCGCTGGTAAACAAGGGAAATCAGTGTAAAACGAATTTATATGAACGCCAAATACTGGGATCCGATGTCGAATTTACGTTTCTTGATGATTGAATCGGTGATTGTGAAAATTGGGGACCGCTTCCCTTCGGCTACGTAAGTGACGTAGGATTGTGTGCGGTCGACTAATTAGCCCTATTGCGCGCCGCGTCGCGACAGCTGTTTTCCACGTGGCTTCCGTATCGGTGTCGGACAGAGATAGGTATAGGGCTCGGAGTTGAGATAAAAATAACAAACAGGATCGTCTATTTTATAAATAAAATCTTGACAAATCGTTTACGTATACTATTGATTTCATAAAGCTTTTAATAAAGTTTTATATAAGTTTTAATTGTTTTTCCTATTAACTTCAAACGCATATTTATTTTACTCGTGACATGAGATCAGTATTATTTATATTAAGTTGCCGGAAAAAGTTACTGAAGTAAGTCACGGATTATCCGCTTGAAACTGAGCGCCCGTCTGGGGAAGAAATTTTACAGAAGACTGCGGCACAGTTAAATAATACTACCTACCTATTGGTGATTACTACTGCTGTATTCCTGTAGTGAGTAAATTTGAGGCAGCTCCACGGGATATGGGAATTGGGGTAAAGCCAGCAAGGTTACAGTGACTGTGATGTGAAGTGAAAGTGGAGTCCATTCAGAAGTATTCGGTGAGTGTGCCGCTCCCACAGGCTTGAACCTTATCCCCTACATTATAAAGCCCGCGTATCTTATACCATTTTAATTTTTTAAGCCTGTAACTACTCGATGTTTAAATTTAAAGAAAATATTCCACGCGGGCCAGGCAGCAGACGGGACTCGATTCCGCACCCTTCGCTATCCGGGCGAATGCACTGACCATTATATTATGCTTTAAATCTTTTACCAGTAACAGATTCTCAAAATGTAGAAAAAAAAATTTGTTTGTAGGTGTGCCTATTGAGATTTCATTACATACAATGATGTTATTTGGTGGTTAGAAACAAAAATACTTTCACAAAAGCCTTCGACTCAATCATATTTAAACATTATAGAATTGTATCTATTTTACATTGCTTATTTCACTATGGAAAATGAAAGCAAAATTAGTTACAACTCACAATTACTAATTAAGAATCGAATGGTTCAACGACCACGAGTTGTATAGCCGGAATTTTAGTAATGAATAGCTAATTTACCTCCTATTAAGCACAGCGCACCGAGGAACATTTGATGGTTATTCATAACTTTGCGATAGGACATTAAATTTCCATAATCATTGACATAAACGCCGTAACGCGAAACTACCTATATATATGTAATTTGTATAGGTACCACAGAAACAAAGCTGCGTGAAATATAGTATTATCGTCAAGATAATTATTATTTTAAAGAAGAATTTGTGTAACGATTAAACTCAAAAACTACTGAGCATTATAGAATATATACTACACTAGCGGCTACCCGCGACTTTTTCCGATTTAACTTTAGTTTTTTTTGTGGATCCCACAGGAACCTAACATTTTAACGGAATAAATAGTCCTATCCACCACAACAAATTTCATTCAAATCCGTTTTATAGTTTTTGCGTGATTGAGTAACAAACTATCACATTAATAATATAAGTAGGATAGGATTATCCCTGAGTAACATAAGCTATATCATATCGTGTTAAAGTTCTTCCGAGCAAAGCCGGGGCGCAACGCTGGTTTTAAATAATTCCGCAGCGCTAGCTATGCCAATTTAGTTGATCCTAGTGAAGCCGAAGATAGCTCGTTGTGTGCAAAATTGAGCACTTTTTGTTTCACCACTCAGGTAGAAAATTCAAAGGCTCAGAACATTTTCATAACAATGCGCCTGCGGCTTTCTCGCCGTAACTTTTTTGGGAGATCGATGCGTTTGACAGACATGCTATTGTCAACGCAAGATGATGGACTAAAAACTGAGCATTTTATCGAAGATCAGTGGGAAAGATCGATCGCGGCTCGCATACTTATTCCGAGCACTAATTAGCGGTGTCTCCAACGTAAAGGTCAGCTTAATCGAATTTGGAAGTGAATTAAATTCAATCGCCAGTGAACAAAAAATATCGTTTCACCACAGAGACTCGCGAGCTCGTGTTAAGATTGCAAAATTCGAACTAATTTCTAATTATCATTCTATTTATGGAACTAAAAAAGTACCTACATCTGAATGGTCTGTTCGCATAATTTAATTGGTACCTAATATGTATTATGGATGGAGCTTTGATTACACGGTTAATTACACTTACAGCGTAATGATCTCCTTATTTGGGTAACGTTGTATGTGTAATTTATGATTTTTTAAGAGCTACCTCGAAGCCGAATCAAATACAAATACTTAACTGAAAAAATGTTTCTTTGTCCTTCATTACTATAGAAACCAGGAGACTTGCCCAGGTGGGAGAGTTGAACCATCTTTCAAAATTGTATTTAAATTCAGCGCAAACGAAATGTTAATTCGTTCATTGTTCACATGCGTAACTGATTTGTTCTGATCTGGGCGTCATGCATGTGACCAATGGACGAATTGACGTTTTGTTTATGCTAAATTAAAATAGAATTTTGACAGATGGTTTAACTCTCCCCCTCTGAGCAAGTCTCCCGGTCTCCGCCTACCTCTATGAACTATGCCAAACAAAATGTAACTATGGAATGGTTGGCCCGCTTGATCTTAAGCGGCGATCACTCACGCGTTCTGCTACCCTACCCTTACCACATCCCCATCTCTATCTTCCTTCATCTCTTGGCCCATCTTGCCTCTCTCTGGCAAGAAGGGCACTCTCTTCTTTTATCTGTTCTCTCTCTATCTCTCGTCCACCACCATCACGTTATAGCTGGTGGTCGACCGAACTGGTGAACGGGCACTGACCTGCGCGTCGTTCGCCCTAAAGCACGGACCGCCGAAGCGCAGGTCACTCGCCCGACGCCGTTAACACTCAAACCCAGCTTTTTATTTTTGTCTTCATTTTGCTTCTATTGCGAACTATTTTTACACTATTGAAAAACTCAGTTATGCAAGTTTCTATAAGGTTGCTTTCCCACACAGGAACCTTACTTCAAGCGGAAAGTCCGCTGGGCCCTTCTTCTCCTTAAAAAAATGGATGATGATAGTTATACGATTTTTCTTTTTCTTTGTGATTTAAGTAGCTACGTTACAAATAACGAATGTAAAATTTCCTGCATGCCTTATTACTTGTTTTTTACTCACAAAATAACTGATTGACGGATTGATATAGGTATTCTTCATTTCTACACTTGCATTGCATACTGTGTTAGAACGAATAAATATAAAAAATACAGGATACAGAAGATAAAATAAGTAGCACAAGTCATAAAAAATTAAGGCCTACTTGCACCAAAGTTCCTAATTCAAATTAAGAAGCTTATCATATTAAAGCCTTATTCCGTCTTTATTTGACTTTATATAATTGACTAAGATGGAAAGATGTCTTAAACACGATTTAGCCATAATTTGAATTAAGAACTATGGTACAAATGGACCTGAGAATACATAATAAGGCACAATCTCTTTGGTACTACAGTTTTTAGTAAGTGAGAGAAAACCAAAACACTTACCTCGTGTAGTCGCTTTTGCAAAGGATCATGCCCCCTTTGAAGTAGAAGGAGCGACCCATGTCCGCGAGCGCCTGCCCGCAACACGTGCACTTGAGGCAGCCGTGGTGCCAGTACCGGTCGAGCGCGTGTAGCAGGAACCGTTCCACTATCTTGCCGCCGCAACCCGCGCATTCCTTTACGCATATAAAGACATTGAGTACATTTTATTATTTAAATACCTACATGTTATTTTTTTTTCCAAATACACCGATTAGCCTAGGCAAAAATTAAGCACAAAATAAGTATCCCCAGTAAAGGTAGAAATATACATTTAGTATGGTTAGTTAAAACTGTACTTGTTTCTCACTCTAACCTAACTAAATGTATGAAACCGATATTCCTCTCTGATGTGCGACAGCACAACAAGACAGATAAGTATAGTTCTGCCATAAGGCTTGTGTTATGGGATGCTAGGGTAATGGATAAAATAGCTCTATCTTATTAATAAATAAGAAAACCATTGATTAATTTTCTAATGGATGATGATTTTGCTATAGTCAGCGTCCCTCAGTCAAGGTGGTTGTTTTGCGGGTAATTATAAGAATTAGATAAAATAACCTCCACATCCCGTACATTAAATAGACATAGAGTTATGTGTTGTTCAACTGACCTATTATTATTTCACCCTTGATGCATTTATTAGAAAGAATGCTTAGCAAAGCCTAAGTAGTATTTTCGGAATAGAGATAGCTGTAGCAGCAGATACATACACCTTTGTGCCACAAAAGCTACCTGGACTTGAACTTCCCTTACATTGAGGAATTCAGCCTAGTAACTAAAAGCTTTTATCAATGATTTTTTGGCTTTAATACATATATTGAAATGAAAATGAAATGAAAAATTCTTTATTGGCCATCATAAACATAGAATATGACAAAAATAAAACTTAATCTATAGACGGCCAACCAGGACCCTGCCTCAGCATAAGCTGACATAGTGAGAAAAGAAAAAACTTCTCTCACCATGTCGGCGCTGTTATTCTGGCAGGGCCTGTACAAGGTCGCTTTAATGGATTGTAAAACATTCAAAAACCAAGTAAACACTAAAAACAGAACAATAAGAAAAAACCCACATCACCATAGAGTACGTATATAAAATATATTAATATAAAGAAAATTATAATTAATCGTATACTGTAATTTATACATAAATTTGTTTAAGTATATAATGTAAATAAACCATGTACCCAAAGTTAACTAAATTTAATTTACACTGACATAAGGACTTATGCCAAAACTTTCGTTGACTGCGCCCGAGTGCATGTTCTGAACGCAGTCTTGTACGGTTCCTATCATCACTAATCTGTGCGAATGGTTGCCACGCATTGTCAATGCCTGTCACGCATTACGCCACCACATATTCAAATTTACGTCGCCTTTCAAGTATAAAATTCATCTGTTAGGTGTTAGTTGTTATGTGCATTTTAAGAGCTACCTCTTTTAAAATGCTCATCCTCTATCAATAGGGTTTCCTGCTCATATTGTAGCGCCTAACCGGGGAATTAACCTCCAACTTGCAGAAGACCACAATGAAATAACACTACCTTAAGGTGGTGTTAAGTTTCTGTCGGTGAGTAAGTTTCCACGGTTCCAGAGTAGGGGATAGAGTCGGGTTAGGCAATACTGCAAGTGATACTTTAGTATTGAAAGTGTTTATAGGCTATGACGGCCGCTTATCATCACGCGGGTTAAAAAAGTGTAAGTGTGCAGCAGTGACATTGTACCTACTAGTGTTACTATTTGTTTAGTACATGCCAGTAAATTATTAGCTCAATTTAAATGATTGTTGCGTTTACAGTGTTGAGTTCAATTGTTATCGTGTGGACGGTGGAAACCGTTGTAAACATCGGGCAAAGGAAGGTAATGGTCACTTAAGGTTTTTTTACACAAGGCTCAGCACATTAGTCCACTTCGTCTGATGTTTAGTCTGAATGGTGTTAATTGTGAAGATAGCTGATGTGGCAGAAAACATGCTGTTCTAGATGCATCATGATTGCCTTACCTGCATGAACACTAAATGAGACTAAAGAATAGAGTGAATGGCCGTAATCGTTTCTAAGGGGGAGGTTACTTCTAAATTCTGGCGCTCATAATTGAGCGAAAACTTCGTTGTGCTCGTGCTCTACATGTGTTAAGGGTAGTTTGCTCGAGCGCTTTTCGTCGTGCACTATGCTGCGTGTCTACCTAGTGCTCAGAACAGTTATGAGCGAGCAAACATTTGTTCGCCCAGTAAATAGAACGCTCAAAACAACGTTGCGTTGTTTCCATTGATGACTGAGCAAAAGAGCATTCGTTCCCTGAGTCCAGTCAAACATTGTTGTACGAACTCGTTTGCTCGCTCTGATGTTTCCATTTACCAAGCGAACCAAATTCAGCTCGTTTAGAACTGTTCGGAGCTTAAGAGTAGAGTGTTCATCGGTTAAGGAGTTTTATTATTAATGGAGGTTTGGTGATTTATAGTAATGTAGTTACCTTTAGCGCAGGGTTGTTGTTATTGTGCGGGTAGTCGTGACCGTTGGCGAAGGCCGCCTCCGGCGAGGGCGGATGTGGCGAGCTGAGCTCCGCGTACCCGTGGTAGTGCGGGTTCATGCTTAGCGCGCTCGCTGCCAGCTTGACGGTTGGAGCGGGGACCGCTCGCCGACCACCACGACTACACGCCCTGTCGACAATAACAAAATCATTAGGCATTAGCGTTCAAAATAAAAAGCCATTAAGCTCTGTTTCTATAGAGATATAAACAGAGACAATAGAATCTAAAAAACGACATACTCTTAGATCAACGGATCGCCAAGCTGAAGATGGAATGAGCGGGGCACATAGTTCGGCAGACCGATTGTCGTAGGGTTCCTACGTTGCTTTAATAGCTACCTCGCACCCGAAAGCTCTTTCTTTATCACATCGTGTTGGAAGTGTCTTGGTGGCTGCTTACCATTAGGCAAATACAATGCTAGCATTGTTTGCCACTATAATACTACATGATAATACTATTATGTAATTTAAATATGAAAACAAACAAGATATTTAGTTTATCATGAAAGATAATATGCGAATTTGTAACACTGTCAGCAACAGGGAGCCCATCTAAAATAACGCCGACACACTACCTAACGGATTTCATTAGTACAAATGTGATTAGCAATGGTCCGAGGGGAAGATACCTATACACCGTAAGAGGCTGACCCCTTGATTATTTTTCTCGGACAGAGCACGGATTCGGCATAGGCCTGCGGGTCGCCGCGTTATAAAATTTTCCAATTAGCAATTTCATACAATTAGGAGGGCGGTGGAAAACGGGGCAAGGGGTGAGCGGTGCGTCAACCCGATCCAATTAGCTCGCGGCCGGCGGAGCGGCGGGACGCCGTCTGAGCGGCCCTGTCGCCATAAAACTTAATTAAACGTTTTAAAACAAGTATTCATTAAAGAATAATCAAGCTTATGTAGTCATAAATAAGCGGATTGTCCCGCTCGGAACGGGTGCCGTAATTAAGACTGCACAGAGTTGATCAAACGCACTGATTTGAAACTACCCTTCATTAAGAGCGCGCGAGTCAGCCGGGAGCTTCCGCTGCGGTGCAGAAACTAATTAAGAATAACGGACGCTTTAAAAGCGTAATTAATTTAGATTGTAATTCTATTTCTCCGGGAGTAAAGTAGACAATTATTTCAGTAGCCCTTTCTTTTGGAACGATTTGCTCTGCTGAATGTAATTTGCTTAATTTCTGTGTCTGACGTAATGAAAAGGCTGTAGTTACATCTAGAATAATTAATTACAATACAGAGATTTGAAGTGAAAATCACGATTATTTCAAAGGCTTAAATTTCCTTTTAGGAATTAAAATAAAAGGGAAAATATCAGGGATCATGAATTGCTACAACAGTGGCTTACTTAACTATCTATGGTAGACAGGAGCGTGTATAAAGTCATTAAGAACTATATGAAGCAACACGTCTAATGATGGTTGTGTTGTCGTGGGGTGTAAAGCTACCGTGGCGTGTCACCTCAGTTGCGTGTTGGCTAATGAGCGGCGTCGCGTGCGCACCTATCGCCGTTCGTTATATTGCGGGCGCGGGTCGGGACCCCAGGAGTGCCCTGGACGTATGTTTTGATAATTTGGCCTGCCTCAACCGGACTCTTGATTGATTCAAATAATGCGTATCTATTCCGTAAAAATACCTCACTTTACTTTTTTAAATATTTTAATTTCAATTCTAGAGTACGTACCATGCCGGGTGCATGTATTAAAATATAAGTGACGAATAAAATATAAAACAACAGAGTTGTCTATAATACTGTATATTGATAGTTCATAGGTGTACATTCAATTAATCAAACCAAGTGTATACCTGTGTTTATTAGATTCAATTAGTGGGATAACACGATAATTGATTGTCAACTACCCATAGAAAGTATGAAATATACTCTCAGATATTCTGAGAGATTACAGTTTTATTTATTTAAAAAGTAAAACTATACAATCAATGCGTCAGTAACAAGCCATTGTGGTATAGCGTTGTCGAATAGGAGAATATAGGAAATTAATTTACACTATCTATCAACGTGTAATTGGGAACGAGAGACATCGCAGATGACGAATGAAAATCGATTCGATAAACCATCGAGCGGAGTCGATTGTCTCTCAGTCGAGGCACCGGTATCGGATCTAGGGCTATGTTGGACATCCATCGACTACTGCTGTTGATAGAGTGCGTTGCAGATTGCTTGTAAACAGAGTAACAGTAGTAGTGCCTGCATCAAGTTACTGCCTATAGTTATCCACAGCAGGATATTAAGAACTGACCAACTTTCAATATAAAGTTCCATTAAGTAATTTGTAAACTTAGATTGGGCTGTATTGTCCGTAGAAGCATGAAAGAGGTTGCTGCATTTTAAAGAATATATCACACTAATATTATACAGGTGAAAGCTTGTGAGTGTGAGTTACTTGTTGTGATGTGATGTTTGTTACTTCTTAACGTCTAAACGGCTGGAGCGATTTTAATAAAATTTGGTATGAAGTCTGACACCTTGGATGAACACATAGGCAACATTTACTACGGGAAAATATCCCTAATAAACCGAGGGAAACACCTATTAACTATAATAGGTCCATATGTAACTATACATATGGACGAAAACTCTTTCATAGCCTTTGATGATTATTATCATTTGGCAACTCAAAGGACAATGTTATAATTGGCCTAAGAACCAACACCAATTTGGCATTTATGATAATTCTTAGTATATTTTTTGCGATAATTATCAGTATTTAGATTGTGACGGACACTTCCAGTTAAGTAAGCTAAATTAAAAAGTTAAAAAATAATCTGAGACAATAAATACCATTTTATGTGTATAATCTATGGCAGCGCTGCAAACAAAACACTTTTTCTTCCTAATGTCGGCACTTCACTTGGTTATTCGTATTTGCTATTTTAAAACATGACATCAGTCTGTCCTTTTCATTCCTTACTAAGCATGACAAGGACAAACTGTTGTCAAGAGAAGGGCCGGCATAAAATTCTTTACTCTGTGGTTGTGGTGCATGCAGTTTTCATTTGTAGTAATCTGTGGCATTCGTGCATTCCAAAGAGTAGTATATAATATACCGGAAAGTGCATTTTCGTTTCGGATTACCTGTTGTGTGTGTTTATTTGCGATTGTTTTTCCCTTAATTTAACTATCTAATATGCCATCGATATTACCAAAGAGCAGAGCCCTTATTACCAAGTGCTAGTGAACCTGTGCCACATCCTGAGAGGATCTAATCAATAATAATAGCCAAATTATTCAAGAACACCTGATACACATTCACGCTGCATATTTACACAATATAATGTGATATACAAATAAATACAATAAACAATATGATACAATTAAGTGAAAAATAGTCATTAAATAAGAAGCAAAACTACAGTTTTTATTTTATTCATGATTCCTACCTAACCAAGTTTTTCCTAATAGTTATTCTTTAAAATAGCACCGAATAAAATGAATTAGTTGTAATATTAATTCACTTCATACTGAGTTCATACTAAATTCATAGGTTGACCTATGTTTCATTGAATATTAAACATAACCTCAAAAAAAATTTAGTTTTCCTAATAATTTAAGTTCTCAGAAGTGTCCGTCAATAATCTTTGTTTTTACAGTCATTTACTTACGACTTTGAACCTAGAAAATAATATTTCATGATTGTTGGTTCTTAGGCTAACTATGTATGGACGCTGAGCAATGTCCTTTATAACGTTCTCGCGGCCGCCCTGACTTCGTCGTAGTTTTTTGAGAATCCCACAGGAACCTAAAAAAAATCCGAGATAAAAAGTAACGTTGGGTGGATGGGTTACGCATATGCGTACCAAAATTCACCCAAAACCTTCCAGTAGTTTTCGCGTGATTGAGTAACAAATATACAAACATATATATATTCACACCTGAATATTAGTAGGATATAAGAAAACTGAAAAGTGTGCTGGTGATAAGAGATTTCCAAAACGACGCGTCGAATAATTTATATGGAAAATTGCTTAAAAAACGTCGAATATAAAGGAAAAAGATTATCACGAATATTATGAAGCGCTACTTTAAAATTCATTGTTCATAAATAAAAAATAATAATGTCAGCTTACACGAAACGAAATTGAGTATAATTACTCAAGCTTGTGTCTGTTTGGGAAGGTTAGATGGGTTGTTTTGAATCGGGCCCTGTAGCACTGTGTTAAGGTTTAATTTGGGTTGTTGTTTTTCGTTTCAGTTGGTGCGTGCTTAGGTTTGTGGGGGTGTCCTGAGAACCTAGCAGGTGGTGTTTTCATTATTCAAGGTTCATTGATTGGATACTTTGTTGCCGTTTAAAAATCTTATTAGCAACCGCCAGCAAAACAAGGCAATGGGTCTACTCGCATCCCCCTATCTACCTGCTAAGTGATTTTTTTTCAATTACTACGATGAACTGCAGATTTGAATGTTAACTGCGAAAGTGTAAGTCATCTTGTTGTGTTAGTATTTTATTTTCTTCTTCCTATTTGTCAGTGCAATAAGTACGGTGACTGTACGAAATTTTTGAAACACCTTTTTCAATAATCTTTTCTTGTTGAAGGTTCGCTTCATAAATACATGAGTCTTTTGTCAGTGAACGGTTCCATTGATAGTCGAAATTTATTAATGACACTTTTTTTCTATCTATTGAAGAGATAACATGGTAGTTATCTAAACAGGAGTCCTTATTTTAATGTAACCAGGATGGTAAAACTTTTGTTTCCGGACAAAAATCAATGACACCTCATTTTGAGAAAATGAGGTGTCATTGATACGTGGGTGTGCTCCGGGAGTAATGTTTATACCACTATACCTTTACCGTGTTAATCTTTAGATACTATGTAATCAACCAAAGGGACATAATTAATAAATATTGATAAGTTTGTGTGAACGTTATACAACTCACACTTGATATACCTATGTTCTAAGATAGTTTCATATAAGATCAGCATAAGCCAATGGAAGTTTTTTTATTACACTAATTAACAAATTACCCCACTCCATCTGAGGTTAAGTGTCAGTGGAGTCTAGTCGCGAAGTGCAGCAGAAGGTGTGCCACTCCAGCCATACATGCCTTGCCAGCCTGAACCTAATCCCCTAGCCTGTGAAGGCCTGGTTTATTGAAA